ATACCCATCCTATAAAACAAGATATATATATATATATATATACTGTATATATAATACATCATTATTATGGCTATACATTTTTTGCAGTCTCTTTGTCTCAGTATCTTTATCATTATTGTTCTTTATTTGTATTCCTTTGACATGTTTATCATTATGTTCTAAGTATGTCTTTGAAGTATTCTTCAGTCGAGAGTAAAGGGATAAAGGTGAGGGGTGTGACTGTGTTAGACCCGAGTAGTATAACAAAAAGTAACATGGGGATAATACTGACCAGCTCACGGGGTCTTGTTAGCTTACAAAGCATTAACCCAAAGTTACTTTTGCTTTTTTTTTTTCTTGAACCCACCAAAAACCGACTCTTTGAAATCAAACATGAATGGCGCCCCCTCCCCCTGTACAGCGCTGCGTGAAAGGTAATGGCGGTACAGTTTGCAGCCAATTTCACCAATTAACCATCCAGCATGTCTTTAATCTCTGTTGCCCCCCTCCCGGGTCTAGCTCGCACTGGAATAGTTAGTAAGAGTTTCAGGGAAGGGTTCATTGATTGAGGCAGGCCCACACGTGTTGGCCAGATGGCACCTGTCCCCCCAGCCGCATTCCTCTGACACCAGAGGACAGACAGGTGACAGCAGACCCAGTGGAATTCTGTCTCCTGCAGGTCCCTTTTAACTTAGCAAGCTCTCTCATCTTAGCCATGGGTGGCTGGGAAATGGACTGATATCCCTGCATGGAATTGCAATGCTACATTTTCTGTCATGTTTACCCAAAAGCGGCTTGATGTCTCCTGTTTGGTTTTTGGAAGAACCATTGCAAACTAAAACAAAAGGGGATTTCACGCCTCAGCGGATCAATGTATAGAGTGAGACGGTTTGATAGACTGATCACACCTTCGATTCCACTTTGTCAAAATCGCAAAGCAATCCAAGACATAAAACATTGTTTTTGACCACAAGGAGACGGGACTGATATTGTCTCAAGTAGAGCAGGGGTGGGCAACCCTGGCTCTCCAGCTGTTGTGGAACTACAAGTCCCCTGAGGCATTGCAAGACTGACAGTTACCGCCCGGCGTTACTACCAAAGACATGTTGGGATTTGTAATTAAAGGAGAACTATGAGGGGGAGTGCTTTTCACTCACCTCATAGTTCTAGCCGACCTGTGACAATGAGACTCTCACAGGTCGGCTCAGTAGATCGGGAGGTGAGCGAACACATACCGGCGTTCGCTCACTTCTCGGTCCTGTCACGGCTCTCTGCCGTGACAGGGGAGGGGCTGGATTCCCCCCCGCTCCGATCCTCCAGCGCTGACTGGCGGAACGGACGGGGGCAGGTACAGCTGGCTCTGCCTCTAGATAGGCAGAGCCAGCTGTCAGTCACGCAGCTGGGCGGATCCCGGCACAATTGTCGGGATCCGCTTCAGTTGCGGCGTCTCAGTATACCGCGAGCTGTAGCTCCCTATATACTGAGCTTAGGGTGACGGGAGGACGCTAGTTTGTGTCCTCCCGTTACCCTAAGGAGAACTATGGGGAAAAGCCCTAACCCCATAGTTCTCCTTTAACGCACAGCTGGAGGGCCGGAGTTTTCCACCCCTGCCTTAGAGGATGGATGTCTTTCATTGCACTCTATGGAATATGCACCTAAAAGGATACCTGCAGGAGTTTGGGAGCACGCCGCTGAATGCATCACTGAAGCACAAATACTGTAGATGCATTCTCAGACATAGCCAGCAGCTGATGACCTGTGCAGGTTGAAATCACCTGGGCAGGTACGCCCATGCTGTTAGAGCGTAACAGAGAGCAGCCAGGAAAATCAAACTTTAACATGAATGATTGCCAGGGGGGGGTATCAGCAAGGCAAACCCAATTTAATACAGGAACATCTGCAATGAGGTACAATGTTCCCAGCCTTGAGAAGAAAGAGTTAACCTTGCACTGATAACCTGTCCTGCTAATGAGGCTCTTATCTGTGCAGTGACAGATAAAAGACACTTGTTGGAGTCTGGGCCAACAATGAAAGTACAATAACCACTGAAGTCCTCACTATACAAACACTATGTATATGTGTGGCTTGTAGGAGGCCAACTCCAAATGCTGTAATTAGATCACCAGCAGGGACAGGCTGATTCCTTTACATACTGTATTCCTAATGAATGCACCTCAATGTCCTGTGTCTGCCCAATGGTCGCTTCTGGTATTGTCAATGGGATCTCTTGTCGTGTCCTGTAATGCCACCTTGTGGTCAGACTG